ATTTCTTCTGTTTTTGAGCAAAGCACACTCTTCTTTTGCCTCCAGAAATGGAAATGAGACATTAATTGTAAATCGTGTTCTACTTCACATAGAAATTATTTTGAAAGGAAGGACGTATGAAAGTTAAAAGCTTGGTGCTGTCGTCCTGCTGACTCGTTAAAGAATTAGTAAGAGCAGGAATTGGGAATTTGCCAGGACTTGTTGCTTTTGGCTCATTTCCAGTCAAGCCCATAAGAAATTTACCACGTTATTGCTGCTAATACTTCTGTGATCAAACCCAACAGTCCGCAGAGATCGTCTGGTGAAAACACAGAAACAGCTGAGAGTAAATACTGCAGCAAAATGTTTCAAGGGAGGTGCCACGATTTTTCATAAGGATGTGGATTATGAAGTTTTCTGTGAAATACAGCCAGGCAAATGTGAATTCTGTACCTTGAAGGAGGCCATTTCATATTCCTGTTCTAATCCCTGCTTGTGAACCACTTGTCAGCCAGGAGAAGAGCTGTTTAGATGAGAGCAGTTGCAGCCTCCTGGTATTTTCATGTTCACACACAGACCTTGTTCCACACAGGCAGGTTTGTTATCATACATGATACTCATAGGTTGTGAATTAAAAAGAGCTGTATCTCACTGGAGGAGCGATAGTTGATGGACAGCCAACCACAGTGACTTAACCATGATAACATACTGTCAGCTTTGTGATCGTATTTCTTCGTATCACTCTTGCCTTAGAAGCAGCTCCTTGGTGTGAATGCAGACTGGCCTGATAGACCAGGTAGGACTCAGGCAATTGGGTGAGAGAACTGCAGTCGTGGGGAAACCATCTGGTAGTTGCCCAGTCACCTAAATGAATGTTTGAATGGCTTTGTCCTGTTTCCTAGACTGCTAGCATTCACATCATGTTTACCCTCTCTGGTGCTGATACCTGTGATGCTCTGCTGCCTAGCAGGGTTATTAAAGGATCTGCAAATTTGCTGAAGAACAAATGCCTCTGTAAAAATGAGTGCTGTCATGTTGCATTGGCCATCGGTGATAAATGTACAGCAGCGTTTCTTGATCATGTGGTGCCTTAAGGATAATCAGATAATTCTAGAGAAAAACTTCATGAAGTTCTTGTGACTGTCAGGTTGCCAAGGGAAGCAGAAAGGCTTCAGAAATTCAGTTGACTGCACTGGTGACAGGAGACAAGGCTTCAGCTGATGTCACTGAAGTGCCTGTTGTAGATGCACAGCAGTTTTTGTGAACCGGTGAGGGAGCAGAGTTGGTAATCCATCTAGCAAAAAAATACCCAACAGCCTAATAAAACAAGTATTTAGATGAATTAAACATCATCTCATCGTCTAGCTAAATGATTGGCATGTACTGGCCCAGCAAGGCTGGGAAGTATGGAGAAGTCGCTGTGGGAAGGTAAAAAGTTGTTGATACTAGTATTATTTTTATTTTTAGGAAAAGCTTTTCGTCCTTTGACAGCTTTACATCGTGCATTCTCACTTAATTGCGGGACAAACTGAGGTGTTGTCTTTTCTTTGTCCCTGCAGTTTTGAGGGGAGTAGTCCCCTGCTGGAACGAGTACTTAATTTGTCATATTCTCTAGAAATAAGATTCCTGAAAGAGGAGTGGGAAATGCATCGTTAAGGCTGTTGAGAAGATGGCTGCTGGCTGAAGCGAGGCGTCTAGAAAAAACCAGAGTAGTTGAAATAGTCTGAATGGGATAGGGCTTGAAATAAACAGTGGTGCCTCTGAAATATGGCAGCATAGGGAAACTACAGGAATTGAAGACAAACTTCAACAAAATACACTGAAAATAGAATGATAGAATGGCCTGGGTTGAAAAGGACTACCCTCCTGGATATACACTCCCTTCAAGTAATTCAGTTTCATGAGAAGGAGTTGGACTTGTTCCACTGTTACAGTGGGACAGAAACCGCTCCCCACACCCTCACCTAGGGGTCCTGACAGACACAGGAAGCCTGGTAGTGAAGATTGAGGCAAATCGTTGAGTACTCATTGAGTACCTCAACTTTTTCCATGTCTGAGGAAGCCAGTTCTCCATCCTCATTTATCAGAGGGGCAGCACTCTCCTTGATCTGTCTCCTCATGCCTATGTACTTGAAGAACCCCGTCTTGTTATTTTTCACATCCCTCACGAAGTTCTGCTCCATCTGCACCTTGGCTTTCCTCACCTTATCTCTACGTATGCAGACAACATCCCTAGATTCTTCCCAGGCTACACAGCCCTGCTTCCACTTCCTGTCCATTTCCCTCTTTTCCCTCAGTTTAAGCTGCAGGCCCTTGCTCAGCTGTGCCAGTTGTCCACCTCATCAACAGGATCAGCTGGCCTGTAGCTGACCCCAGCCACTAGATGCCCCTTACTGGACTGATCCCTGATTTTCATCCATAAGCTCTCACCTTGGTCATGAGTGTTACTCGGACACAGCTCTTTGCAATTTATCCTCTTCCTAACATAGAGGGCAACTCTCCCTCCCCTCCTACCCTGTCTGTCCCTTCTGAAGAGCCTGTAGCCCTCAATCACAGTATGCCAGTCTTAAGATTCATCCCACCACCTTTCCATGATAGCAACTAGATCATAGTTTTCCAAGCCTGTCACGGTTTCCAACTCCCCCTGCTTATTTCCCATGCTGCATGCATTAGTGCAAAGGCACTTCGGCTGGGCTTTCTGACACATAACCTTTCCAGAGGGGCCCCTCCTCAAACCTCTGTATTTCCCCACTGCTTCCTAGAGGGGCATGAGAAGGTTTTGGATGGGGGATTGGCAATGTTACCTCCTCTAAGGAGTTTCAGGAAGATCCTGCAGGGCAGTTCAGAGTTTTTTTCCCCCTAATAACTACAGTAAAATAGGAATTGTGGCTTGGCACAGAGAAAGAGACAGGAAATGTTCCAACCAATGTAACCAAAAGGAGATGGAAGCGTTTTGGAGGAGGTACCAGAGTGATCAAACTGGTTCAATTTTCAATGAATAAATTTCTCACACAGAAAAACTGCATCCCGTGGCTTTTACAAGTATGCAGTACTTTAGAGGATGTTCATTGCTTTTTCAGATGTGTATGTTATCCTTTGTGGTTTGGCTGGGAACAGAGGGACTAAGAGAAGGCACAGTGTGCATCCGGGACGTGGGAAAGTTTGCTCACCCTTGTGCAAACTTCTCCCTAAGCTGCATTTGACTTCCAGTTGCATTCCATGCTATGAGAATCAAAGAACCAAGATGATTTTCTTTTCTTCTACTATTTCAGTTCAGCTGTTAGTAAATGTGAACTTTACTGTCTCGTTCCTGACTGATATCACATGCTTCAGGGCAACGTTACCTGCTAATAGCCTGAGTCTCTCCCTCTTAGTGAAAGATGGAATCCATGTCGTATCAGCTGTTTTCAGGAACCAGTGGGACTTGATAGCCTGCAGGTTAATTTAAAGTTGTCAGAGAATGGCTGGAGGAGAGGATCAGAAGAATGAAATATGAAAATAAGAGTCATAGGGGAGTGTGTGTATACAAACCATTTTTCTTGCTTTTTTATTAATGCACTGTTTATTGGTACAAGGAATAAATCATTGCAACAATTATTCATTAAAAATATTACCATGCTTTGTCTTTTTCGTGCCAGTTCGTTTGTTCTTTTTGTGAATCTCCCCGTGAGATTCAGAGAAAAACATCTTGAGATTATTAATAATTTTTCATGCCATTAATAACAAAAGTTGTTCCTTTTACATCCATTCTGTAGGAATTTTAGTCTCAGCTACAGGCTGCAGTCTCGTCTTACTGCTTTGGGAAAGTTGCTTCACTTGTTTTCAGCTCACTATGCCCGTTCATACACTAGTAATAACAAAGTAGACAGATATTTTAAATACAAAACCAATCTAATACTAATTTTTGGTCAGTGGTAAAAATGCAGTAGGTGTGGTTAAAGCAAGAGAAAGAGGAAGAAATAATTAATTTGAAAATGATGTGTTCTTGACTTCCATTGATAGTGGACAGATTGTGGAAGACATGATTATTAACTGGAGGGTTACATGACCATTAATTTCATTCAGATCAGTAGAATAACATCATATGAAACTGGAATCGGGCCTTACCAACAGTTTTGTCATCCATCAGTTTTAACACGAACCAGAATACTTCATCCTCAGTCTTTTCTCTGTTGAGTAATGCTCAGAATGTTTCTGTATTTGTATGGATGGGTAACTCCAGTAAAACAGTATACTTGAACTGTTGTGTGGACGTTATTTGTTTGCATGATTTCATTTGTGAAGTAGGCAATGTTGGCTCTACACCACTAGGAGCTAAATATCAATTTAAGAATTTTGTTCTGATTGGTGACTGGTTGTGTGGTGGTAGAGACAAAGGTTTTGTTGTAAAAGATGTAGGATTTTAGATGGTAGGTTCAGAATCTGCTTTTTAAGGGTTTAGAATTCTTCTGAGGATTGTTACGAGTTTAAAGCAGTTAGAATATTGGCTCTTGAGCAGTACGTTTCAATTCTATCTTGAGAAGCATTTCTGTCTTACTGTGATAAGAGCCCTTCATTATCATGGTGGTAGTAAATAAGTTTTCCTCGTGATTCATTTGCTGATTAGAGAAGTAATTATTTCAGTGGTGAGTTGATGAGTATCTCGATTTGTGCGGCATGCCTGCTTTTGTTACAAAGTCATATCTTTTTTTGATTGCTTTTCTCTTCCTAAATATTTCCCTTTTCAAAATACACCTTCTGTCTTTATTAGTTCTACAACTTTGTTGGGAAGCCCCGTACCAAAAAGTTATGTTTATTTTCTTCCAGCTAATTAGTATAGCACAGATGCTCTTAAGATAGTGATGTTGTATCTTAATTACCCTGAGGTGTGAGACAGTTATAATTTTAGCTTTATTACATAACTTCCTAAGTGTATAACTTGCAGACATGCATGATTTAAAAGAGTAGAACCAAACAATGTATATCCAGTTTACAGATTTGGTGTTTCTCCCTCAACCAAAAATATTTTGTTTCCTTTATAGGAAGGAGGCACAGCTGGATGAAGAAGGACAGTTTCTCGTCAGAATAATATATGATGATTCCAAGACCTATGATCTGGTTGCAGCTGCAAGCAAGGTTCTTAGTAAGTAATATGGATATCTTCTTTGACCAGTCCTTACGTGTAAGATTGAAAACTACCACCAACAGGAAGGTCCACATTGCAGAGAGGAACAGGACTTAGCACAGAGGATGAGAACACATAATAATGGTCAGAGATTAAGAACAACAGCAGAAGAATGGATTTTATTGTTATTTATTTACCTCAAATATTTTTATTCCCTTTATTCCTTTAAGTGATTTGTGTTACTTCCAAGTAATATTCTAAGTACTGGATCCGCCTGAAGTTGTAGTAATGTATCTAATCCACAAATCATCAGTGTTACAAAATGGTCGTGAAGTAACAAAGTATCACTGTAACGACCTTGCTAATACACCCGGATTTCAACCACTGCTGTGATGGCAGTCCGTGGCCTCTGCGTCCTTCTCTCCTTCTGACCTCTGCTGATGAAAGATGCTGAGTTACAGAATGATTTGTGACACGTCTTATTTCATATCTGCTGTTTATTTGGGTAGCATTCATTTTCAGTTGTCCTGCGGTTTAAAAGGTATAATTATGCCCATCAGCTTTCTTTTATCTGCAGACCCAAGCTAGTTGTCATGTTGAATTGATGCAGCTGATGTAGTTTCATGCTGTTGCAAGCCAGAAGTAACCCCCCAGAGTCAAGTGTTGCTGAGTTATTGCAAGTAGTGCTTCCTTGTCTGTATCAAAGTCTAAACTGCTTCACATAGACAGAATCCATAAAGGGAATCTGTAAATCCTCCTGAAATTCCTAAATATGTATTAGCTATGCATTGCTTTTTTATGCACTCTGACTCTTGTCCTCATATTCTTGGCCTTCTGGATCTGGGTGCAGTCTAGGTATTGTTAATGTGTGAACTAAAACACGTTTTCCTGTTTTTACTAGATCTGAATGCTGGGGAAATTCTTCAGATGTTTGGGAAGATGTTTTTTGTGTTTTGCCAAGAATCTGGCTATGATACAATTCTGCGTGTTCTGGGCTCAAATGTTAGAGAATTTTTGCAGGTAAGATTTTTATGCCAAACTATTCCAGATACAGGGGACTAGACAGGAGTATGGTCTAGCCAACAGGCTAGAATGGAATGTAGAAATAGAAGTTGTACTGTGTAGCTTTATTTGTGTAGAGGTATGAAGGATATATGCCTTGTTTTTTGCATTCTGTAGAGCTTTTCTCTGCCTAGCAGTTTTGGCATTGCTGTTCTGTATCCCTTTGAACAATCCCCTTTGTTTGATTTCATGAGCAGTGAGTTGAGAAGGCAAGTAAGCTGGCATTCACAGAAGCATTCATACATCTGAAATTTAATTTGAAGTTACAAAGGAAAAGTTATAACAGGAGTTTTCATAGGTAGCATGGAGTATCAGAGACATGGAAAAAACACCAGGCTGCCTGTACATCATAATTAAAAGGGCTTTATGTTGTTTAGATTAACAGAAAATGTGATCTTCAGACCTGTAGGATATTTCTCATCCAGAGTTCTCTCTGACTAATTATAGATGTTATTTATAATTGTACATTATGTACAGAGCTAGGGCTCACACAGCTTGTTTCTAAGACAGGAAATTGTTTTGTACGTGAACTGAGGGTGGGATAGAGCAGCTATCCTTTTTTTGTGCTTTCCTAACTTCAGAACATTGTGACATTGTGCTGTAAACCACAACAAACTGGAAGTAATTTTTCAGTAGCATGGAAAAAAGTGTAATGGCCTCTCTGAAGCCTGATTTTCAAGTGTAGCAAAGATGGGCTTCTGTTTTTTGTCACTTGAAGATTGTTCGCTTCAAATACAGTTTTGTGTTTGTGACATAGATCACCTCAAGGGTGAACTGTGTGCTGCAATGAGTTTAAAGACACTGAACTGATGAAGATTTCACAGGAGATTGCCAAATAGCTGTGTCCAACCTCTATTGATTTTTCACTGGAAATTTAGCAGCATTTTGTCATCTTTTCCCTTGAAATTCTCTCCAGTAATAGAATGTGAAAGGGGCAAAGTGCCTACTTTGCTGTATTTTGGGGGTATTTCCTTGTGCATCTCACTACTTGCTCTGAAACCTGTAGCACTGCAGAGCTTCCTGGGTGTTCTCAACTCAGACTTTTTAAAGATCCCACGATCTGTAACTGCTGGGCCAAAAGACAAGTTATGTGTGTGCTCCATCTGATGCATACCAAACGTGTGGTCTGCATACCACTGTCTGTGTGGGATTGGGCATCCATAGTACCTTATAGCTCCATCCATAGGCTGCTCTCAAAGGATGCATATGGATCAATGTAATTTTTAAAGATGTACTGAAGTTATGGTTGGGGTTGAGCAAGAATAGAAGACAGGAAAAAAAGATACAGCCATCCAATTCCCCCATCACTTTGAGTACACTTCATTGGTCCTTTCTTCTTCCTTTCTCTCATCACCTTTTCCATCCAGTATACTCATCTTTCTGTTCCCTAACATGAATAATGATGGACACATTTGTAGCACGTACCAAACCCCTGTAAAAGTGTGAACTGCATACATTTATGGTCTTCTAATTAAAGTATTTTAGGCTGTTTTGTTTGTATTTCAGTGCTAGAAGATGACGTTAGTTATTATGTACCCCTGTAAATTCTAACAAGGCAAGGCAGGTATTAGTAATTGTGCCAGTAGTGTACTTTTCAGCTTTTAATTATGATGGAAAATCAACATTATCCATGATTTATTGTTTTTGCAGCTTCTAACAGATTAGGTCAGGAAGCTTATTTATATACTTACTAAAATAGGTGCAGATTGAGTTTGATGTACTGACTTTTTGTCAGATTGTTAAAATATATGGTATGATTCCAAAAACATCATCTTCTTGAAACATGTATTAAGCCCAGGAATGTGTGAAAATTATAGAGGGCTGCAGGTTTTTTAAGTGTGTGAAAATAAATCTCATGTTTATGTTCTATTTTCCTTGACATTTCAGAGATAATTTAGTTTATTCGTAAATGAAACACAGATACTTCAGGCTTTAAGAAAGAGGAAGAAGACAGCACAACCAAATCCAATATTTATACTTTCTAGAAAAACATAGGGCTGGAAAAATTGCAAATCATATTGAAAGAAGACACTGTGCTGAGGAGGAGCAACGTGAAAAGATGAAGCCTCCTGAGCAACTCAAAGTGTGTTTTTGTTACATTCAGTAGCTTTCTACAGAAAGGAAATCAAACGCTGGAGTGGAGATTAGTCCTGTCTCATATAGGAGATCATCTACGTGCCTATTTATTTGCTTCTCATTTCAGTGCAGTAAATTTAAGTGGATTAATTCCGCTCATGCAATACTTTCCGTATGCTCTGTGCAGCACGGAGCTGAACAGTGAGTCTTTATATTTCAGGTGCCAGTCATGACTCCTTAAGACTATCTTGGATCTGCCTGATTTATTATTACTATCCATGCTCCTTCCTGCTTGGAGATCCTTTCATCTTTTAACAAGCTCTAGAATTAGTGTCTCTGGTACCAGCACAAGCTCTGGCATTCATCTGAGTAATCTGGGAGCGAAGATAGGGTTGCTGTTGGAAGTGATAATGATACAATGTCTAAATGGCAGGATGTTGGAGCAGTGTTGGTGCCCGCATCTGGATGCGCATCTCTACTTCTTCTTGACCGCATATAATAAGTACTTTGCTCACTCCAAAGTCATATGCATGGGGGAGAAAAGATGCAGTGGATACTAAAAAAGTGCTGCAGTACATTCTGGACAGGTCCCCAGCTCTAGATGAGTGGTGGTTCAAGACTAAAGAGCAAATTGCATGGATTCACAGAATCACAGAATAGCTATGGTTGGAAGAGACCTCCAGGATCACGAATCTCCAACCCCCTGCCACATGCAGGGCATTCAGCTTTGATGTTTCTTGGACAGTCAGTAATGAGGTAGTAGGGTGGCAAAGTGATCATTCACAGCGTGGCTGCCATCATTTGTAGCAATGCTTGCGCCAGACTTAAATATTTATAATGAGACAGCCATACAAAAAAATTCTGTGCTTAACTTCTTCTGGAATTATGTTGATGACTGTAGAACTTGATAGTTTACCCTCTATTTCCATGATATTTTCATATTTCCTATTTCCATCTCCTTAAGGGTCTTGTTTCCAAAATAATTCTCAGCTGATCCTTTAGCTTGTGTACCAAAAACACAGTTCTTAATGCAATTAAGGAGATTCAGGGGCACTTCCTTGGAGTTCTTGCTCTTTTCTCATCCACATCTCACAAGCTCTCTTCCAACTTACTTGTCTTGAACCCTGGTAATGATCTTACAGAATTTGCCTTCAAACATTTTTCTTCTTTTTGCAACTGAATGCTCATTAACAGCTGGAATAAATTGCCTCCCTTGCTGTTGCCTCTCCAAGTTTTAGTTTGGAGGTGTTGATATAGCAACAAAAACATGAGTTTGAAACAAACTAAAAAACTGAAGGAGGAAGCTTCAGTCTGGGTACATCCTACAGAATTCATTTCTAAGAGCCTCATTTCCTCTGGAGACCTTCCAGGAGAAGAACCAGCTGTTTAAGTGCTTCACAGCTCACATGAAACAAAGTTCAGTATAGTTCCATGGATCTGATGATTGACAGATGCTCAGGAAAGGTGGAAAATGGACCAGCCAGCACATTGAAAATATTTTCCCCTCACTTTCCATTGTGCTAGATGAAAATACTCAGGATCTGATGATAGCAGTTGTGTGGGGGGTTGGGAGAACTGTATTTGAAATATACAGTAATGATCTGGGCTTAGGATGTAAAGGATGTGTATATGTTTTACAACAGATAAATAGTTGTTTGAGTTGCAACACTATTTGCTTTCTGTGTATGGACCTCTATACAGCAAACAGCAAGCTGGAGCCATGGTAATTGCTTCCTAAACAAAGTCAGAACTGTCTCTGTATTCTTAGCGTGGTTCTGATCTCTTTGTTCTCTTTATTATCCTCGTTAGATATGCCTCTCAATTTCACTTTTTTTTTTCCTCTCCAGATGTCAATTTGTCTTGTTAAAATTTAAAGTAAAACACATAAGACGTCCAAGACATCAGTTGAAAATATAGAAGACCTTTTTTCCCTTTCTAAACAAATATTTTCTGAAACATTTTTACAGTAGCCATGTTCTATGAGTCCTGTTGGGTTTTTTTCTCCTTATTCTCAGTCTGTGTTTGAGATCAGGCCCTGTCAACTTGGTCTGACTGTTATGATGATAGAAGTAGCCTGTTGTTTCACAGTCAACAGGGGAAAGATTTTATGAAAACATGCTTATTTATGTTTGATGCCTAAATTCAAAGAAATTGCAGAGGCTTGAATTTGAAAAGGATGCAAATGAATGGGCTTTGGATTTGAGAAGCCCATACAGTCTTTAATAACCGTAGTTTTGAAATGCATGGATTCTTACTACTTAGAGTAATTCTTTATAGTGCTAGCTTTGCTGCTGTTCATGTCCAAATGTTTACGCAGCAGGGGGAAAGAATACCTTGAGCTCTGAAAAGCCTGCTGGGGGCTGCTTCAGAAGTAGTAAAACAAGTGCAAAGGGAGTGTGACCAACAAGAAGGGGTGGAGTCAGATTAGGCAAGAAATGTTTTTTTTTTTATTATTTTTTTGTTCCAAGCTAACAAGTGAATGTCTTATAATCATGTTTTAAATTTCTTCTTCTAGAACCTGGATGCTCTGCATGACCATCTTGCTACTATTTACCCAGGTATGCGAGCCCCTTCCTTCAGATGCACTGATGCGGAGAAGGGGAAAGGACTCATTCTGCATTACTATTCAGAGAGGGAAGGTCTGCAGGATATTGTCATTGGAATCATCAAAACAGTAGCTCAGCAGATCCACGGTACAGAAATAGATATGAAGGTAATGCCTGAAGAGTTGTTCGCATTTAAATGTCTTTAGAACAAAGTCAAGAAAAGAGAAGTGATGGCAAACAATCACTGCAATTGTTGCTGCCCTCTATGAAATGGTGGCTTTAAGAACTGACTTGAGAAGAGCTGCTGTTGTTTGAGTTGCTTTAAGAACAGGTCAGTCATGTGGTGAGAAGGCCAACATTAATTTGTGGGCAGGCCCATTCAGGAGCAGTTTAAAACAATGCACACTGATTATGCCATGCTGGAGGGCAGAGTCCTCCTTCTGGCCTGCGTTGGAGGTCCTTCCCAGACAAATACGTGTTTGTGGTTCAGATACATCTGCAGGGTGGGATTGTGACTGAATAGGCAGCTGCAGCCCCAGAAGTGGAAAAGTGTTCCCCTGTCATGCAGTTTACCTGATGTGCGTATGCTGTCACTTGTGAAATGGGAGACTCCTGTTTTGAGGTGGTACAGAGTAGCAAACACATTTAATTCATCAGGCCTTGCATAAGTAACTGAATAAAAGCAGTGTGTGACCTAACACATGGTTAGCTTCAGGTATGGGCTGAAACCAACTGTATAAACACTTCTTGCCATTAGAAGTGTCACAACACAAATGCATTACATGAAGTAGAAAAGAATCTAAATGTGCATAGCAAGCTTTTTTTTGTTTCAGCTATTGCTAACTATTCTACTTTTCAAGCTGAGTTACACTGTATACTTCAGCTGAAGTAATAATGTTTTATTTTAGCATGAATCTGGCTGAAGCCTAAAATCAGAAGAATGCTTCAGTGTCATGTTCATTCTGTCATTGCTGTAAAGTATTTTTGTGTGATCATTTGCTTGCTTATGCAAGAGATTTATAAAGGCTCCCATGACAGTGGTAATTACTACTGCAATCTTGGAATATTTGCCTTTCAAGTTTCTTGTTATAAGCTCGGGTTTATAGTGAATAGCTTTTGCTATATGGTGATGATGATATAGTTATGTCCTTTGTTTAAATTCTGCTTGGTAGAAATCCATATTTACAGCAGGTGTTAGTAGTCAGGGAAGGATGCGACAGAATTAAAACAATCCTCTTTGTTGGTCCCTGTTTATTCAGATTCTTCTACTGATCCCTTCAGCTGTTACGGAGCTATAAAATAAACTAGATGGAGGAAGTGAACTAAGTTCAAAATAACATTTGTTTTTCTGGGTTATTTTTACTTGTATCTGTTCCCTTTTGCTATTCGGTTTTCTTATGTGTCACAGGGAGTTCTGCCAGCATCATCACAGGGTTGTGCAGAGGCAAAACTGATCAGTGGGGCAGGGGATAAATCCAGGTTGTTCAAAACAGCTACCAGGACAAACTTCTGACAAATTGTATTTTCAATCTGAGTGTTACTTTCTTGGGAAGATCGTGTTGGAAAATACCAGTGCTCAGCTTGCTGTTCACAAGGACCTTTTCTGCAAATTTCAGCTGGGCAATCCTCAATGTATGCAGGTGCATAAGGTTACTTCTTCCCAGGTGCAGAGTCCATACTTTCATTTCTTGCACATCACTAAGTTTCTGTCAGTCAGTCCAGTCCCTCTGTATGGCAGGGTGACCGTCTGGCGTATCAGATACTCTTCCCCACTTTATATCACCAGCAGTCTAGGCCCATCATCCAGAATATTAATGAATAAGTTGAATAGGACTGGATCCTGTATTGACCCCTGGAGTGCGTGGCAGCCCAATCCTATTCTGTTTGCTTGTTTTTCAGATATTCCACAACCCTGGAATTAATTTGTAGGCATTTCCAGTGTCTGCTGAATGGGGTGCAAAGATAAACTAAATAATCACATGATCACATGAAGCAAAGTAAATATGGAGGAAAAATATATTGTGCCTTTTGTTTCCTAGGTTATTTCTTTGATTGGAGAAATGGCCAAATAGGAAAAAAAAGAATGTTTAATTTTTACCCTCTTTCTGCATTTTTACCCAGAACTATTCTCTGTAGACATGCATACATAGAAATGCATGTTCTTGTGGTATACTGTAGCTCTTTTTCCAGAATGACATCCTTCAGGAAAGATGCCTTTTAACATCTAAGGTATGTGTATGCTGAAGGCAAGGAAGAAAAAAGATCTGATTTTGTCTCTATTAAACTCTGTTAGTACCAAAAGGAGTGGTGTTTTTTTTTTTTTTGTTTTTGTTTTTGTTTTTTAACTTGGATTCACAGCTGCAGCACATTAAACCTGGGAAGCCTACCTTGACAGTAGTCAACTGATTAATTCAAATCCAATTTGTTTATCTTCCCTGATACCATAATCCACTTTTGCTAAATAGAGTTAATACAATTTTTTGCAGTAAGTACTGTCCTAAGAATCGTTCCTGACTTTGAGAATGCACTAAAAATATTTGTGTTCTGCCTGTCTCAGTGTGAGGACTAAAAATACTTCTTTGCATTGCTGGTTACTGACATTGGCATAAGATCTCTGTTAGCAGCCTTCTGGCTGTACCTTCTCTTGCTTCGCTTGTCAGAGGTTGTTTGTCTATAAAGGTGAAGGTGAAGTCAGGACAGAGATTCTCTCAGGACTACAAATGATACAGGACAATGAGGAAGTGTTGGAAAATCCTACAAAGCCAAAAGAACATGTTGGGAAAACTGACTTCTGCAGTTCTGTTATTATGTAAGAGCAGGTTATCAGAATCTATATTTTAGATTGTCAGGAGAAATGGTTTACAGTAGCAAATGAAAGGGAGCTAGAGAAAATTCTTGTCAAGATGGTAATTTCTAACTGTCATTACTAGTGACAGTCCAAAACAACAAAGCCAGAATGTGACCTGCTGAGAAGCTGCCCTAAAATCTGGTTGGGTACTTGTCATTGAGAACAAGCAATACTAAGCCATATATTAAAAGTTACCTTTGTATGAAGACAAGGAAATCACAGAGCATAATCAGCCTCTAATTCTGATGCAAGGGCACCTGGAAACATCACCAGCTCAAGACTCAGAGATTCAGCAAAGTGAGACAGTCTGCACCTCAAAACCAAGTGACAGATGCAGACATCCCTTCAGATCACCTCAGATGTACAAAGCTAACAATGGTGCCACTTGCACAACAAACTGATTTGCCTCAGGACCTCCCTGGAGCAGCTGTAGTGAAATGCATCAAGTAGCATTGCATGGTCAGTTTTGATCAGAAGGGATCAAGAATTTTATCCTGTATTCAGTGTTAAATGGCAAAAAACCTGTCTTCGTGTTCAGCTTTACAATCCAAAGGAAAAATATTCTGTCCAGTAACATTCTGTTTCTTCCTAATGCTGCAATACAAGTCTGTATTGTGGAACTGCTTGTAACTGAGTCATTTCTTGCAGGAGTATCAGTGGAAGTTTTAACAGATAGCATGTGTTCAGTATACATGCTGTAACACAATGATACTACTTTATTAAGTATCTTGTGTGAAGCTCAGCAAATAAACCACAGAGTCATTTGTAAAATAACCTTTTGAGTTGTCCCCCTTTGAAATATTAGTGTAATTTTTCACTTGGCTACACAAAATAAATAAATAAATAAATTGAAATTGAAATTACGTCTTCTGAAAAGCACAGGTGGATAACCAGTAAGATGTTATATATTCTCTTTGAAAACAGCAGAGAGATTTTCCCCTCCGTTTTTAACTGCTGTTTCTATGGTGACTGTGCTCTTACACGTGGTGAGCTGATGTCACTTCAGCTGAGACTAGAGATGAAAAGAAATGGGCTTGGTTCCTGGCTTTGTCAGTTCTATCACTGAACTTTCATTTGCCAGGCATTTGATAGATGCTTCCTTAGTAATATTTGAAGTGATGCTGGAATTCTGTGGCTTGCAAACTAGGCTGGCGTAACGAGACAATAGGAGAGTTCCATCCTAGTTAAGCTTATCAATAGGAAAGTTTCGTCCTAGTTAAGTTTATTTCATGCTTTGTACGGCAGGTCATTCTGCCAAGTAAGTATCTCATCAAATAAGTTGGACTTACTTAGAAGTGAAAGGAAAAAAATGTAACATGTTAAGTTATGGCCAGAAGTGCTGATTTTAAACTTCCTGACAAATGAAAGTCCTGGCTATTCAATGAAACATTTAATTACTGTGGATGTCACTATAAGTCAAGAACACTCCCAGAGGATGTGGTATGTCTGAGCAGATTGTCTGACTTATTCTGTGCATTATCTCATTATCTTATTTAGGATGGCTTTCATCTTCTAGGATGGCAAAATATATGCATGTATATTATCCTGGTTTCAGCTGGAACAGAATTGATTTTTTTCTTCAAAATGTCTGACATGGTGCTATGTTTTGGCTTTAGGAGAAGAACAATATTGATAATGCATTGGTGTTTAGTTGTTGCTGAGCACTCACTGCTGTATGAGCAAAGGACGTTTCAGGTTTTTGGCTTCTTTTACTGTCCTGCCAGCAGGGGTGTCTGAGAGGGCACAAGGAGCTGAGAGGGTACAGAACCAGGACAGCTGACCTAAACTGTTCAAAGGTAAATTCTGTACCATAAGACATCATACCAAAAAAAAAAAAAAAAACCCATAAAAAATGGTGGGGAATTGGCTAGGGGAGCTGCTGCTGCTTGGAGACTTGGTCAGAGGGTGGTGAGCAATTGCTTGTCTGTCACTTCTTTTGTATATGTATGTGTGTATATTATTATAATTACTAGTATTTTTATTTTCCTTTTCTGCCTTAGTAAATAGCTTTTACCTCAATCCACAAGTTCTAATTTTTTTTTTTCTTCTGATCCTCTTCCACCTATCGCAGTGAGGTGGAGAGGGGGGAGGTGAGTGAAAGTCTCTGTGATGTTTAGCTGCTGCTGGGTTAAACCACAGCACGTATATGTGTGCATTCATACATTAAATTTTGAAGATTGAATTTTATCTGTATCTCAAATGCCTCAGAGAAGAAGTCTAAGTTGTTTGAGGTTAATGAAATAACAAGATAGAAAGATAAGCTAGTGCATAAATGAAGTGAGCAACAAAGGCATGAAATTGGGTGTTATTTAAGGCTGAATCAGTAGCTTACTTAGCCTGTAGAGGGATAAAATTGTAGCTTCCCTTAATAAGGGCCTGTGCAAGGAGGGCCAGAACAAAACCTCAATAAGCCTTCCCCATCCATAGCATATCAGTATTACTAATAGTGTTCAGCCGGCACAGTGGCTGTACTGTGAATCTGTCATGTTTCCATGAGGTTGGCCTGTAGTGTGTCAGCTCTGGGACAGCCAGCATGGCTTCACTGAGGGCAGATCGTGCCTGACCAATCTGGTGGCCTTCTGTGATGGAGTGGCAGCATCAGTGGACAGGGGAAGGCAATGGATGTCATCTGTCTGGACTTCTGCAAAGCCTTTGACATGGTCCCTCAGCAGATCCTTCTCTCTCACCTCTGGAGAGGTGTGGATTTGAAGGATGGACTGTTGGATGAATTAGGAATTGGCTGGCTGGATGCAGCCACAGGGCTGTGATCAATGGTTCTGTGTCAGGTGGAGGCCGGTCACAAGCGGTGTCCCTCAGGGGTCGGTCTTGGGACCGGTGCTCTTCAGCATCTTCATCAATGACAGATGATGGCATCGAGTGCAGCCTCAGCAAGTTTGCAGGTGGCCCCAAGCTGAGCGGTGCAGTCGATGCATCGGAGGGAAGGGAAGCATCCAGAGGGACCTGGGCAGGATGGAGAAGTGGCCATGTGAACCTAATGAGGTTCAACGAGGTCAAGTGCAGGGTGCTGCATTGGGTCGGGGCAACCCCAGGTATTGATACAGACTGGGGGCAGATCTCCTTGAGAGCAGCCCTGCGCAGAAGGACTTGGGGTCCTGGTGGACGAGAAGCTGGCCATGAGGCAGCAGTGTGCGCCTGCAGCCCGGAAGGCCAGCTGTGTTGTGGGCTGCATGAAAAAGGGGCGGCCAGCAGGAGAGGGAGGTGATCGTCCCCCTCTGCTCGGCTCTTGTGAGCCCCATCTGCAGCCTCTGACTAATATGGTCATTAGGTGATGATATTAATCTCTCTGAAAGGTCATGTACTGTCAATATAAATATTTCCTGAAAAATATTGGATTTTTTGAAACTTACATGACTGCATTGCTGGATGGTGAAGCTTTTTTTATCCAAATTACGCATTTTTTTGCTGGCAAGAGCAACACTGTGAAATAAGATTCAAGACTAGAAATCTTCTGTAAAAATAGATCAGTTTTAGCACTAGTTCTGCAGAATTTGAAAAATTACTGTGTATAATCTCAGTTATCCCATGGCCATAACAGTAGTAATAATGAAATAAAACCGGTAAGTATGCTAACGAGTGAGGGGAAAATGAGAACTAAGATGCTACCTGCATTTTATCAATCCTCAGTATGGCCACAGACTCTCTGAATTACAGGGATAATGATTTAAATGAAGAGGAGGATGTTGAAGACCCTTAAGCTGTGAATTCAGAAGAAACCTAGGATGCCATCTACTATGTTCTGCTTTACTAGATAAACCCATGCGATTTATTTTCTTCAAATGACCACTGTATCCTCTTTCTGTGGCTTACCCCTTGTTAACTGATAATTTCCCATTTATCTTTGCTACACACTGCCACGTGGATTACCAACAGAGTTTTTAAGATAAAGTAAGCATTATCATCGTTAACATTTGAACTTGTTCTTACATCTAGCTTCAGGTACTTGCATTGGTTAGTAAACGATAGGCTGATCTTTCTCTAAGTTACATGCTCAATAGAAAAATTAGTGCATCACATTACATAGAGCACTTAAATTAGTTTCCTACTCTGAATTGCCCTCCAGGAGGGCCTGTCTTTCCTTTATATTCAAATAGAGGATGAAGGAACACCAGCTTCTTAAATTAAGCAACATTTAGCAATAAAATATTGTTTCGTGCTTGTGAATAGGAACAAATGAAGTATCACCACTCCCCAGCACACCAGCTAACATGGCTGTAGAAGAGAAGTGTTTAAAAAGTCTAAACATCAGTGTTTGTGCAAATCTACTTTTTTTTTTGTATTTTAACTGTTGTTCTCTGTGACCAGATAATGTGTAAAAGGCAGACTTAGGATGCATTAGGGATTTTAAGAAGACCTTTTTTTCTTTTTTTAATTGCTTTCATAGGTTTAGGATCAGACTTTAGATAGAAGTACAATAAAGTGCAATGTGTTCCAAAAAGTTGCTGTTTAACAGTACTGTACAAATAGAATTGTTCTGTTCCAGTCACTAAACCTAATTAGACTTGAGAAGAGGTGAGTTTGGCCTCTCAAGGTAAATTGTGCTATTCTATTAATTATTAGCTTTAATTATACTACAGCATACGACTCCCTGGAAACAAAATAATCCTTTTTAGTTTTTGACTAAGCAAATTTACTGAAGCAAAGTGCTGTATTCAAGACATTTATTTATGATTTTGCTGATGTAAATTTTGCTGGAATTTAATAAGGAATGTGACTCGGAGAAGACTGTAATTGCTTCTAGTTTTATTTTTTGAGCATGATCTTGTAGTCAGCACTGCTTGCTTGGGCAAGGGCTGTGTATGCAGAGCTCTGCTCCCTCTGCTGCTCTTCTGGCTGGTTATGACATGCCCACCCTCTGGTCAAGCACTGTTTGCTGTTATGTTGCAGGCCTTGCAAACAGCTTTCATTAAAATAAGGATTCCAGTGCCTTGTGAAATTCAAGACTTGCAACAGGTCCATTCAAAGAGAGGGAGCATTCTATTGTGTGACACATACCAATGAAAGCAAGCATAACCCGAGCCTGCATCCCTGATTTCAGGATGTGCATTTCATTCATCTTTTCCTTCTTTGTATTTTTATTTTTCCTAGGTTATTCAACAGCGGAATGAGGAATGTGACCACATTCAATTTTTAATTGAAGAGAAAGAATCTAAAGAAGAGGACTACTATGAGGACCTTGACAGATTTGAAGAAAATGGTACCCAAGAGTCTCGCATCAGTCCATATACTTTCTGCAAGGCTTTTCCTTTCCACATAATATTTGACAGAGATCTGGTGGTCACACAGTGTGGCAATGCAATATACAGAGTCCTTCCACAGGTCAGATGATTCTTACATGTTAATAGTTATGGAGAGTTCTTATACTAGATCGTGCAGGTGGTTTTTTGTTGGGTTGTTTTTGTTCATTTTTTTCCCCCAAAGATTGATAAAACAGGATTTTCTGTCTAAAGAACATCCCCATGTATAATATCTACTGTGTTGTGTTGCCGTTGTTTGAAAAAAGACTTTGAAAAGTAGCCCTTAACCTCCAGCAGCTCTGTTCCTTAAAAATCATGTCTGTAATGGGCAGTAACAGACCAAGGAATACACTTGAACGGAGAACACTTCTCCTGCCTTTGTGTGTGTGTGATTTCCTTCTGGATTTTGCAGAAAAATTTGAAAGAAGAGCTTTGTAAATTCTTCTCAAGGCCACTCACTGAACAGCTGTAACTGATTAGCCTACTGAGGATGGCTCTGAGGATCGTTACAACCAGACAACACCTTGGAGGAAATGGCTTGTCGTTGAAAAGCATGTTTGAGGGATGGTACTAATGAGGAGAGCTTTTTTTGACTGCAAAGCTTTCTTACTTTTTTTTTTATAGTTAGGGAACAGTTTGACAGATAATTAACATGAAACAATCCAACACAATTTTACAAAGTCATGTTGCAGGCTAGAATTGCATTTTGAAGCCAATAATACTTTTGTTGTAAAATCCTTAATTTGAAAACCTTGTGTTCTAACGGAGAAATGCATCAAGTATATATTCTCTTCCATTCAGTACTGTAATTTAAGCAAGTTGAATATAATTATTCAATGTATTCTTTTATTGTAACATAATTCAATTGTTTCTTTTTGTGTTTTTTTTCTTTAAATTTCAGCTGCAACCAGGAAACTGCAGTCTTTTGTCAGTGTTCTCCTTGGTCCGGCCTCATATTGATATTAGTTTCCATGGGATCCTCTCACATATCAATACAGTCTTTGTACTGAGGACCAAGGTAACTCAAAAATATTCACTTGGCATTTCTATAAGTAAGCAGGCATGAGAGAAAAAAGCAGTATGGAAAAAGCAGAAGTCTGCAGAGAACATAGTAGTAAGCCTGGATCCTTATGAGTCTTGAGCCAAGAAAAAAAATCACAGATCTGAATTCAGTGTGTTAAATTGACTTAACTGCTAAACAGGAGTGGTGAAATACATATACTTCTCATCTGAGGCTTTCCTGGCAAGAGGCCAAACTCATACATAACAATTTACTGAAGGAAAGGAAGGGCTGTTGCACTTAGTTTTACTTAATTATGACAAAGGAGGCAAATACGAAATGTGTTACCATTTGGGCCCCTACATTCACATGGAACAGGAGTGGGGAGGCAGGCAGGATGAAACAATGAATGCAGAATGTAGAATTGCACCTGCTATGCTAAAAAACTTCCTGAGAGAAGCCAGCAATACTTCTTAGGCATTCTATGAAGTTCATAGAGTAGACAATCTTTTAGTCAAACTATTGTGAAGAGAAGAAGAACTTGAAATTAAGGAAAGATGCCATGATTTGAATCTCTGAGGCAGAATATCAGTGTTGAAGTGAGGACAGTGTTTTGTTTTCAAGGGATAATTGGATTTTAAGATAAGGTGTAGCTATTTTAGACATCATGATGACCTTCATAGTGAAGGCACTTAAACAGATGTTGTGAAGTAACACATAAACCAGTGCAATGATAAAGTAATTGTGATTCTTTTTTTTTTTTTTCACCAGGAGGGGCTGTTGGATGTAGAGAAGCTGGAGTGTGAAGATGAGTTGACTGGCACAGAAATCAGTTGCTTACGCCTGAAAGGGCAAATGATCTACTTGCCTGAAGCAGACAGCATTCTCTTTCTTTGTTCACCAAGGTACTTTAAACAATAAGAGTTGTGTAATACTGCTTTTCATTTTACAGTTACTGATTTTATGAATATCTATGAGAGTAATGTTACCGAGATTAGTTGGCTTGGGTATGGATTTAATAGATTTTGTTGTGTTTATATGAAAAGAGGGAGGAGCATTTGAACATTGGAACTTGGATGCTTATGAAATAATTCAGTATAAGCACTGGGATGCTCTGGCTTAGTTTGGATGAGTGAGAATTCCTCTATTCAGCGACGTTTGGCAAGTTTTGATGTTTGTTTCTTATTCTGAGAATGCTGAGAGATGTCACTGATTCGGTTTCCTATGTGGATTCATGTTGGTTTTTTTTTTCAGTAATTTTAGTGTAATAGAGCAGCAGTGATTATGAAGAGAGTGTTTGGAATTAGGGATTGAATGGAGGGCTTTAGCTAAATCCTCATTGAGCTAATACACCAGACTTCACAGAATTGTAGGGGTTGGAAGGGAGCTCCAGAGATCATCGAGTCCAACCCCCAACATTCACCATGTGTATGAAACGTTCACCTTGTGTATAAAAGTGATGTACAGAGTGGCTGAAGACAGAAAGATGCTACCTTAACATAATCTCACTTTTATTTGTGCACTGAAGAGCGTGTGTTTCGTATGTTCATGGAACTCATGAGAATTCTATATTTAAAGGTAAAATCAAGAGCTGTGTTTTAACACAAATGAACTCCAAGGATTTTGTGGAAGGAATATTTTATATAGCTCATCAGATTTTTAGAAGCACACTTTTTTTCTCCTATTTCATATTCTCTGCTGTTCATCTCAGGTTTAAGTGCTCCTTGGCAAGCTTAATTATACCCCTGTCTATCTACTCACATCTGTCTATCTCTTCGCATTGTAGTGTTATGAACTTGGATGATTTAACCAGAAGAGGGTTATATCTGAGTGATATTCCATTGCATGATGCTACCCGTGATCTGGTTCTTTTGGGAGAGCAGTTCAGAGAGGAATATAAACTGACTCAAGAGCTTGAGATCCTCACTGACAGACTGCAGCACACGCTACGTGCACTCGAAGATGAAAAGAAAAAGACAGACACGTAAGATACAAATCCTGATTTTTGAGCTGAAACAGTCACAGCAATATATTATTTATAGGTACCTTCTTCATAAAATAAAAGAATCTTGGGAGAACGTAAAAAATATTCAAGGCCAATAATTTTGAAGTCAAGAAAGAACATTTCACTTCAGTTCCTTGAAGGGTTTTGTTCTTAATTTAGATAGTCATGTGTCATCTGCAGTGTGGGCTGTCGCCTACATGAAAATGGCTGTTTTGATGGCTCCTTCCTTTATAAGTACACTAGAGGAGAAGTGAACTGGCAATTCTTTTTACTTTGCTAATTAACCTAAAATAGTTTTGCAAACTTTCTTACCTGCCATCCAGTTGATGTGGCAGAAACGCTCAAGCAGAAAGCAAAAATGATCCAAGACACTATTAACAAATCTTGTCAGAAGAATTAATAATGTGTCTATGTTATGTAGAGACCTTGCTCAAAATTCTTTCTGTTTTGCCTGTGCCTTTCTTGCTGACTAATTTAGATTACTGTACTCCGTTCTACCACCGTCGGTGGCAAATGAGCTGAGACACAAGCGTCCTGTTCCAGCTAAGCGATACGACAATGTCACCATTCTCTTCAGTGGCATTGTTGGATTCAATGCCTTCTGTAGTAAGCATGCCTCTGGAGAGGGAGCTATGAAGATTGTTAATCTTTTAAATGATCTTTACACGAGATTTGATATTCTAACTGATTCACGAAGGAATCCATTTGTTTACAAGGTAAGCAGTAGATTTTCAAGTAGTTTACCCTGTGATTTTTCAATAATCTACTCTCATGTTGCTCTTTTCCATCCTTTGGAATGTAAAGAGGAGTATGTTGTTTTTCTCTCTGCCCTGTGAGTCAATAGTTTTTTGCAGTGTTTGTGCGTAGTCACCTGTTAGTTGGATACTCTAATTTGCTTCCACGTTTAGAAGATGTAAAAATTTATGTAAGCAGTTTGCTTTAAGTCATATACCTGGGCCTCCTAGCTGTAAGCTATAATTTGTTATTTAGTTTTATTCCTTCAATAGTACTGAGGTTTAGTTGCAGATATGGTAGGAGATAGATAATTGGATAGATATGTAGCCCGTATATACAAGGGCTGCTTCAAAAGGAATGCCTTCTATTTATAATAAATAGTTGGCCCATGGCATCAGAGATGGATGTTGATGGTGTGGCAGTAGATGTTGAACCTTTCTGCCAATTACTTGTTACTGCCATGTGACAGAGGGCAGCAGAGGGGCAGTCTGCAAAATGATGTCTGACGTGGAAGTGTGTTTGAAGCAAAGATGTGGCATTGAATTCCTCCATGTGGAAAAAATGGCACCCATTGACATTCATTAACACTTGCTGAACGTTGATGGAGACCAAACAGTGGATGTGAGCACAGTGGGTTGGTGGGTGGTGCTTTTCAGCAGTGGTGACAACAACGAAGGGTCACCTCTGCTGGAGAAGTTTTATGATTGTGACATGCAGGCTCTTGTTCACTGCTGGAGAAAATGCATAGCTCATGGTGGTGCCTGTGTTGAAAAATAGTGTTTTGTAGCTGAGAATTTGCTCATATCAAATAGTGTTATTGTGCTCTTTGTTATAGTTTCCGTGGAAATAAATATGAGGCATTACTTTTTCAGCATGCACATGTATATGCTTGTGTCATTGCATGTGTAAAATCCATTGCTAGTTTTTACTCTAAATTAAATTTATGTCCTGCACCAGACAAATCAAGGGTGAATGAGAATAAACATGGTTATACAAATTTTGGAATACTCCAAAAAAGAGACTGAAGTTCACCTAATCACTGTCTTTGTTTTGTTGTTGAAATATAATTAATTCTTATCAATACAAGATATTTTTGGAATTAAGATTTCTTGAATGTAAGTATAGGGAAAACACTTGAAAGGACAGTCTTTGAAGGGAGTGCTACATCTTTTTATTGTACTCTGAAGTCCATGGTAATAAATGGAACAATATGTACCTTGCCAGGTGGAAACAGTTGGGGACAAGTATATGACTGTGAGTGGTCTACCAGAGCCTTGCATTCATCATGCACGATCTATCTGCCACCTAGCATTGGACATGATGGAAATAGCAGGCCAGGTTCAAGTTGATGGGGAGCCTGTACAGGTTAGTAAATGTGTGGGCTTGAATGAAGAGCCCATTCTTTTATATGATTACAATGCTTTGAAATATGATAATACTAAAATCCCTTTCCATGTAGATTAATTATTTTGAGATAGATCTCTATAAATAATATGAAGAGTTGCATGTAGATGTGGTATTGGCAGTTCCCCAGATCCTCAAATGCAGTTGCTGTGCTTAACTATTTAAATAATTAGATCCTCGTCATGTATGTTTGTTTTCTGATCTTTCCAGTCTATTCAACAGATTTGCCTTTTGCATCAAGTACAATTAGCTGAGTCTTTTTCATCTCAATGAATACAACAGTAGTATTCCCTCATTGGCATTTTCAGTCATGCTTGTGATCTCATCAGCATGGGAAAATACTGCATTTAATAGAAAAGTCCATTTCCATAGGTAGTTTTGGCAGTGATTCCAACAATGTATGTTAGTGGAAGTTCTGTTGTTATGGGCTTTTTAAATATGCTGTTGCATTAATACAGAATTGGTGAGACTCCATTGACTTGTCTTCATCAAAAAGCTCTGAGGACAAAATAATTGGTTGTGATACATATTGTTATTTAGCTGCAATCTATTGCTCTAAGACCTAACTGAGGTCTGTCTATTTCACCTTGTCAGTGAGCAAGGAATTGAGGAGGTTTCATATAGGGCCTTACTTCTGAGCAGTAGTCTTTTCTTGGTCTAACCCATCGATTTCTGCAGCTTCTGAGCATTCATCAAACTCAGACCTACAGGGTATTCCTCTCTCTCCACTTTTCTTTTACTTTACAGCATTATAACAGCAGCATGGCGTGGTGCATGTTGGAAAAAGATGAGGTTTGTTCTTTCATTTGGGAGGCAGAGTCATGGCAATACAATAATTAAAAAAAAAAAAAAAAATGGTGATACAAAATGCAGAGCTTTGAAGAAGCCAGAGTAATGCACTGGAAATAAAACTCGTAGACAGAAACTGCATAATACCTGTGTTTAGTTGGAAGCATGAGATAAGCTACATCTATTTTGAATACTGAAGCCTTTTTTTTTCCTCTCTAAAGATAACGATAGGAATCCATACTGGTGAGGTAGTCACGGGTGTCATAGGCCAAAGGATGCCACGTTACTGCCTGTTTGGAAATACTGTCAATTTAACAAGCAGGACAGAAACTACTGGAGAAAAGGGAAAGATCAATGTCTCTGAGTATACGTACAGGTAAGCGATTCACTATTCTTACTGGTGTTGACACTTGAAAAGAAATCACTTTTTCCGTGTAACATCGATGTGCCTTTGGATTTGATGGTGATGGGGCGTTGTTAACACACTTTTGAAGTGCATGAGCTCTGATGAAACTGTATGGCAGACTGTATTATGATGCATGACTGTTGGTATGCAAATATAATGACAATCTAGAGATAGACTCAATGCTTCTATTGATTTGCTCACATTTGTGCTTAATATTTTAAATTGTGTATTGTTTGCATGCATACAATTACATCTTTTCTCTTTCCATTCTCAGGTGTCTTATGACACCAGAAAATTCAGATCCTCAGTTCCACCTGGAATACAGGGGTCCAGTTTCTATGAAGGGTAAAAAAGAACCAATGCAGGTTTGGTTTTTGTCCCGAAAGAGTACAGAGACAGAGGTATGACTAACCAAAGTGTATTTTTCTTTTAAACAAGTTATAAATATGATACATTTAAGCCACTGAGATCCATTTGCAAACTAAATGTTCCCTGGAAGAAAGAACAGTTTTGTACAACACTTTTATTAACATTTACTATCTTGACAGCACATTGAAGTCCTTGACAATTTGTCTGTGGAGTTTGTGTAGACCCTGAAGGAATACTTTCATATTTCAAGAGGTCCTTGAGGGAATGCCAGTGTTTAAATATAAATATCTCTTTATGTACAGATTTCTCCACTGTGCTAGACTTTGCAATATAATGCCCATAATATAATGTTTAACCGATGCCTGGTTATCAGCACTTTGAAATTTACCATTTCTATGAGTGAATAAATGTGCCTTCAGATATTTAGGCAGCAGTCCAACAAATACACACAGGCAGGTTTGAACCTGATGTGTGGTTTGTTCTGTTAACCTCAGATGGATCTTCTTGCTCACAAATTGTTGTGTGATGAAGGTCTTAATTCAGAAATTTACAGAATAAAAATATATCTTCTGATTGACATATAAACTAAATCTTGTTGTGAATAGGGTGAAGCTCTTCAAGCACTAAGTTGTCTTTGAGCTTATTTGATAATTTCAGAAGTTTGCACATGTAGTAACCAAAATCCTATTAGAAACCAATGAGATTCAGACTCAGAAATAAACTACAAAGTTTTACTTTTAATCACATTGCTTTGTGCCAGCCTAGCAGGTGTACATTCCACCTATTGCCAACAGGGAGAAAAAAAGTGTGGAAGTGATATGCACAGCCTGAATTCTGCCTAAAAGTAAAAGTACAAAAAGTTTTAAGCTAATGTATTTAATCTAAGAAATACTGATTGGAATAATGTAAGTCATCAGTTCCTTCACTGAACGTACAGGTCACAGGGACTTGATTGCACTTCTGAATTCTTGTGTGCCTCTGAAAATGAAATTTAGACTGTTAAACCATTATGGCCCTTTAGAAAAGATTTAATGCAACCGGTAGCCAAGTGTATGAATATTGGCTGTTTAATGGTAACCCTCAGTAGTAACTCTCACTATTAAACTTCAGGGAACAGCCTGTATTTTAACCCCGCTGAAGTCTGTATTTTAGTATATATTAGTTGTGCTAACATTCTGGGTGCCACTTTTGATCATACTTGTATGATTTTGTTTTATATCAAAGTTAAGTGTAACTTCACATGGCTACTGTTCTTTCAAATCCATACTTTTATGTGAAATATGCATAACTGAGCACCTTAGACTTATTCTTTCTGCATTATAAGTTACGTCCTATCATTTGTATCAGGGAATATTGTAATGTTAAATGTAAAGCTTCAGAAGAGTATTGAGTCAGGTGCATATTTTCCTTAGTTCAGCTTCACATGTGTTCAGGGTTCTAAAAGTTTATGATTTTAAATATTGCAACTTCTTTTTAGAGAGCTTGTGAAACAGCCAGTTTTGTCAATCATGACAACGGCCCTGACAGGTACCTGCTGTTACTATTGTCTAATAATTCAGCTTTGTAGAGAGAAACATAGGGACAATGGTAAACATGCTAGAAAAATAAAATATTGTCGGTCTGGTTTTTGGGAGCACATAATACGCAGTTATAAATCACAGTTTAGGCACACTTGAAAAGTCTCTCTTAGTTTGTGTTAGGCTTTTCTTGTATATTCTTAAATTCAGACATGCATATATTTCTCAAACACATAAGGACTTCTCCCATCACAGGTATCTCTTTTTTTGTTGTACTAAGTTTTGGAGAATAGGAGACTAGAAGGATAACTTCATGAAGTGTATGACAATGATAATCAGTTGTTTCAGAGGTGATTGTGATAGGTGTAAGAAGATAATCTTGTAATGGTCTTTTCATTCTTTTCCACTCCCTGCACCATTTCATCTGTTCACAAACAGAAAGATGCACTAAGGCTTCCTCCTTTAAGATGTGCTGAACTGTTGTTATTTCTGACACTTCATAGGCTGCATATAACAGTGGTAATCCAAAAGCAGAAATCAAATAAACACCTTTTTATCTTTGATTACCTTATTGTAATTACTTTGCTAAGGTACAGTTTTGGTTTTCTTTTCAGATACTTATTCTATCTGACCTTTCAAACACACGTGCATTCTTACGATTAGTATCATTTGCAGAGTGATTAATTTCAGTGGGAGCCATTAGTAACAATTAATATGGCACGTTAATGTCTGTTAAGAATCCATGTGGTAAATAAATGTCTTGAGTGGTCACTCCCTGAAAATATTTCTTAAATCTGTTTGAAGATATTTTCTCTGACTGTCCTTCAGTTGTGAAGTTTTCTATCTCCAGTGTGTTTAAATCTAGAACTGATTTGTATTAGTGGTACACTCCCTCTTTCTGTTACACTTAACAGAATGGCAATCTCATCATTTGCATATCTGTTAGCATTAACAGATCCTGAAGCCCAGTGATCAATATATGATAGGAGAAGTGAACAAAATGCTTACAGCTGGCACAGTGATATAAAACCAGTGCTTAAAATACGCTGTCTTCACTGGGCACGTAGAATGTCATCAGATTGGAGCAACTCAGCATACTTCAGACTTTATTCCTAAGTTGGCATCTCTGTTCTTCCCTCTAAAGAATTCTATTCCATAATACCATTCCAGCAATATTCAGAGCTGCATCAGAAATATACGTAGAACCAAAGCAACCTTGACTTGTCTGCTTGCTTGCATGAACAGAGGTTCACCTGCAACTTCTCTCAGGAGGAACAGATTTGCTGTAAATCCTAAAGCATGCAGAGAACCCCAGATGCCTGACTGTGGTTTCCATCTGTCCCCACTGCCAAATATGTTTCTCTTCTCCCATGTCCCCAGATTACTAATGGGAGCAAGTCAAAATATCCCCAGTAGTTCCATCAGGGAATGTAGGAGTTGTTACATTCCTACGTACAACACATGCAAAAGAAATGTGCGTGTTACCTATGCTCTGTTCTGTTATTTACTAATACTGGTTGCAAGTTGTCAAACATATTTTGTCACTGCATTGATCCACTATGTTGCTGCTTCAAAGAAAATCCCTTATTTTTCAAATTCTACTTGCATGCATTCAAGGAAACAAAGCAAGATACTTTCTGAGCTGAGGGAAGAGGAAAAGGATCCTGAACAGGGTGCAATACTGTCTCCAAATAGGGAGCCAGGCAGTAAGGATGAATTATGAATGTTACTTTACTTCGTGTCTCCCATTGTTATGTCAGTACCATTGTCTGTTGCTCTTGTCCTGAAATCATACTCACCATTTGCTTCCAGGCATGCTTGCTACTTTTTCCTTAGTGTTTGGTACTCTCTCTCTGCTATGAGCATGTATTTCAGGCTCTTTTTTTTTTTTTAATATGCATTTTTGCATGTCAATCCTGTGGCCCTTCCTATCACCAGTTACCACTGAATCAAACTGTATAATATGCATGCCACAACTAACAACTCAGTCTGATGCTTCTCATCTTCATCTCTGCGGTACAGTGGGTGCATAAATCAATGACTTTTCTGGAAAGACAGGAGGCATTTCAATTTTTTGGCAGAACAAAGAACCTAAGGAACTATTTGTAAAAAGTAGTACATAGAGCATCATTGTGGAAACTACTGCTTAAAACTTGTTTATCAGATTTACTTCTGCTACGACCATGCTTCCTGTTCATATTGCAAATAACACTTGATGCACTGCTGATCCCTGTGTAGAAAGATGGTACCTTTTGACATCATCCAGCATTTTGGCTTTGTAGACACTATGTAAAACATCTTCTGTATTGAAAGGGGGCAGTTGTTTGTCCAACTGAAGCTCGTGCCAATGTATGTTTACTGAAATGCTTTTCATTTTCAATATATTTTTCATTGATTTATATTAACTAAATGAAGTTGTAATGTTAATAATAGATTGCTGGACTGTTGTAGGCCATCACTTGTGCTCTAATTCTGCTCTGATAGAGCCTTCAAAATTGACAGGCGTACTGCCAGGACATGGTTGTCGTAGTTGCCTTTTGTTTTGGTCTCTGGAATCAGAAAATGATTTTATTTTATACCTTGGGAGAACCTGATTGTATTCTTGGCTTCATGGCATAATTAAGAGATATATAACTTGTAAGCAGACATAGTAAAATTAGATGGGATTGCAGATGCTTCACAGTTTTAACATACAGTGCATTTTTGTGTGAATAATATCCATTCTTGTGTCTGGCATTTTCTGAATATTTGCATTATAAATTAGAATAGTGCAATTACTTTGTGTATAAAAGTTGTCTGTACCTAGTATACCTTATCAGCACAGAATATATATGTATAAATGTTTCATGGTAATGTGAGAAATTGCAATAAATTATTTTTTCCACTGATTCCTTTAGAAATTCTGGGCTTTTATTTTCCATGACAGTTGCATTTCAGTGTTGCATTTGATACAAAAGAAGCACATTCCCCATTCTGCAATTCGAGGTTCGCATTTAAATCATTTCTTGAGTCCTTGTTTCACTGTGTGCGTATGTTCAAGAGTCTCCTGCGTTCAGGTTCCTGGATCACATCCTCAGTTTGAAGTAGGGAAACAAAGAGGGAGAGCTGCATACATTCTTTTGCATCACTCACTGTGCATCAGAAGCTCTTCCTGGCACGGTGAGAGATTGCCCGTGCTCTGCTAATCTGCACAGCAGCTCTTTGTCCTTCATGCTGATGGAGCCTGCCAAAACTTTAGTGGTGATCCCTGGGCGTGAGATCTGTGACATCTATGGTTGTATAGAACTAATACAAAATAATAGAGAAATATGGTTGTATGGTATATAAATAGTTGATGCAGAAGACTGTGAAGTAACTGAACAGTTTGTACTACACTTCAGGATGACTTAAGATGACATGCCAGAAACAGTGCTCTGAGTTTATCATTTCTTAATGATTTCTAAGTGTTAAAGCTCCTGTTAAGCTGCTTTGTAGCATAACCAATTTCTTAAAGCACTAGAAACTCATACCCTAAGTTCATCTGAGTGCTTTTTATCTCAAGGAAATCAGTATGATTTGACCACTTTTGTTATTAAAATAAATCTTCAGGTGAACGCTAAGCTCAACAGCTAACAATGAAATTTGATTAAATATTTCCCTGTATTTAGTTCTTTCACATGTGCTCTCGTCTCTGATTTAAATGCAGTGATCTGCTTTCACAGTAGAAGTTCTGTAGTTGAAACATGAGGCCAAATATTTACCTAAGTCTGTTTCAAAGGCATTTATAAGTGTGTCTAGTTTATCTTAGTATTTCTTTGTTTAAAAAAAAAAAAGAGTTTGACATGAGAAGAAAAGCGAAAGCAGCAGTGAAACTGCAAATTACGGAATGCGTGGTTGCAACTAATCTTCTGGATCAAAAGAATTTACATTTCCATGGTATTACTAACAAAGTTTGGCCTTGCAGAGGACTGCTCTGCTTCTTAGAGTAATTGACTTGAGTAGTCTGACTGCTGTTAGTGTTTCTTGGACAATATATATAGTTTTTATCTATTACAGGGCTTGAAAAACAGCAGGACTCTCACTAGGTTCAATAAAGCAAGCTTAATAAGCACATAGTGTCATTCTTTAGAAGTTATGTTATAAGGACTCACAACCCAATGAGGTGATTTAATAGTATGGCCTTTGTTTATAGACCTTCCCCATGCAGAATTCCATAAAATCTTGGCTTTTTAAAGTTAAAAGTGGCTAGGGTGATATGTCTAATAAAAGCTATTGCCCAGAGGAGTTTTAATTCATCCTTCCCTATCTGCTGCTGTAGGGCTGCTGTTTTTTCAGTGTTGTGGAGGAAATTTCCATTTTTATTGTTCACAAAGGCACCATTAGCACCCAAAATATCCATCCAGCTCTTTACATATCCATATTTCTACGTCTGTACCTTTATCTATGTATCACTACACGCACATACAAAGGACGTCTCAGGAAAGAGCCATGAAGACAAAGGTGTAAAAAAAAGCAGGTTGATATTTTTGTGACCTGGTTGTGGTGTTTCATGTAGGCTGGAGTGCAAAGTTTATCTGGCTAATTACAAGCTCAGGTTTGAAAGACAATCATATACAGAAAGAAGGAAACAGGAAACAATATGGTAACACTTGATATGAATAAGGGATGGGTGGACCTGAAGACCTCAGAGCATTTTCTATGAATAAAACTCCTGTAAAATCTAAAGCAAACAAACATGAGTCTGCTGCAGCCTAGCTATGCACTGCAGTGTACACCTGGAACATTGATAGCCATTTCAATAACACTCATCTCCATGGAGCAAGAGCAGGGGCTGAGGCACCCACATCCCGATGGTTTCAGTTCACTATGGTAAGAGTGTATTCTAAAGGATGTGTATGATTGCCACGAAGTGTAAAATGGTCATGGAGGGGAGAGAAAGGGAACGGGAAGGAAAAGGGGGAAAATGCTTATGGGGTATAGTAGGTGAATTCTGTCACTGTGCTGGCTTATCATCTCCAAGCAAAGGAAACTGAAAAAAGAAAGAAAAAAAGCTTCAATTCACCAATTTAAAACTGCACATAAGAGACACTTTTTTTCTCTATTATTATTCAGAACTCTGACCAGCTTTGGATGACAGTTGAGGAAAACCTGCAACAATATATGCTGTCACCACCAAATCACTGCTGTTATCGTTAGGAGGAAAAGGCTAATGTTGGTTTTCATCATAATGGTCATTGGGTCCTTCTGCCAGTGTGACTATTTTGGAGATAAAGATGACCAGAAATGCAATAACGTTTTTTAAATTATTATTCTGGGATGAAGAACCTTACCCTCTGTTAGAGAGGTTTTGTACTGCAGACTCTTCCCTGGATACCATGTCCCACAGATTGACATTCCATTTATTAATAGCTTCTTTTCAGAAGTGGTTGTGGAGATTTCAATGTATGTAAAACACCTAATGCAAGTTTTAGGTTACAATACAATTGCAAACTCCAGGGAAGTGGTTTTGTGTGCCAGCACACATTTATTTTACCTGTTTATATTCTGGACATCTGGCATTAAGCCTGTGCATTTTTTTATGTCCTGCAGATTGTCAGGGTGATTCCAAGATTGATTTTACACTCTGATAAACGTGGCATCCTGTCTAGAGCTCAAGCAACAGACTTGTGATAAAATGACAGAACTGAGCTGAGTGGAGAGAAAAGGCTGAAGGTATTCAATAGTTTCCAAGGGTTGTTAATCATGATCCCAAACTGGAGAACAATTAACTGAAAACAACTAGAATAACAAACCAAAAAAGCCACCTCTAGCAAAAAGCCTCAAAATCTACATGGTCAGAGTTTCCAGAAGAGAAATAAACCTGAATGAGTTCAGTGTTTCTAGCTTCAGCCCTTTCATCAACACAAACATCAACAGCTTGTCTGAACTTCCGTGGAGGCTACATTGCTCGTTCCTTGCTGCCTCGGCCTGTATCAGGGAGAAGGACAACATTCACTAGGTCTATAACACAAGTACTGCTGTAATACAGGTAATACTGTAGTAATCCCAATAAAGTGGGCTCTTGAACTGCCCCTGCATTCCTTCTTTTCTGGTTAATGTAAAATGTGGAAGCATCCTTAGAAGCACAATTATTGAAAGGTAATGGGAAATGGTAAGGGTCTGGCTAAGAACAGGAGGGGAACAGCTGAGCTCCAACTGGAATTCAAAAAGAAGGCTGTCAGATCACATTGTCCTGTCATCTACAGCTCATACCGTAGATGTGCTCGTGCAGCTCAATCAAGCGTAAGGTTTGTTGTTCATCTAGAGATGTCAGTATTTTCTTGAGCTGCAATTAACTCCAAGATACCAAGAAAAAGTCAACAGTTATTTATGAAAGGCTGTTCAATAGGCTTTTCACTTAGTGCTATCATTGAACATTATTGACCTTCCCACTGTGCTTATCTGTGGGTGAATGTTGCCCTGTATTTTCAGCTGGAAAACAGCACTGCAACTGTAGGCAACCTCCACTGTCTGTTGCATTCCCAGATGTGTCACATTCAAACTGCAGTACTTCCTTATCTAAAAACATGTTTCCTGGCACTAAAGTGCCGCAGCACTAAGAAACATTGCTTTCTGATAGAATACCATACCCTGTGAAAAGGAGCCAAACTGAACCCAGCGTTTTAAAAAGTCTCTGATTTGTTTTCTCACGACACTTTCTGACCTCACCAGGCTAAAATCTCTTCAATAAATTGCTCAGAAAGAAGCAGCAAAACAAAGAGCTACTGCCACACTGAGACCAGACCCAATCACCCCATCCCCGTCCTTTTGTTCCTGCCTAACGGCAGAGCCTGGTCTCTGTCAGATGACCTCATGGTTTCTAATTAACTGCTGAAATAAACTGCCAGAAAATCTATACAGAACACTTTCACCATCTTGAAGAAGAGAGAAAGCGTGCCATTCTAGGCTTGTGTCTGCTCCTGAGGGCTCTGCTCAGCTGAGAGGACAACGCCACAGCTCCTGCTCTGTGCACGATGCCCTTCTAACCCTTTTCTTTGCAAAGACTGTTCCACCTCCCCTACACAGCTCCATGCCGTCCCCTCAGCCCCTGTCACTGTTCCCAGAGAGCAGAGCTCAGCACTGTCCTCTGCTCCTGCAGCCACCATCAGGCCTCCCCTCAGCCTGCTCTGCTCCAATCTGAGCAAACGGGGGGACTCCCTCATTTTCTCCCTGCAATGGCATCTCTGCTGTTCATCCCATGATTAAGAAAACCAAAAAAAAAAAACCACCGAAAGTTTGCCAGTGCCATCAACTTCAGTGCCACATTAGCATCAGCTAGGTCTGCCTACTCCTTTCAGTGAATATTATTCACTGCTACTGAAAGGACAGAGAAAACATTACTGGGCCCTTGAGCCTTTAATCAATTTTTCCACTGTGCCGAATTCACTCTTGCTTGCTTTTGGGCTTCCCTTTGCTGCCTCATTGCTGGCAACGTGAAAAACCAATAATGGGTAATGATCAGCCCCCAGGGAGGCAACAGACTCCCCTATAGGTCGGGTCCGGTTGACATTATCAGGCTCTGTTCCTCTCAGACGGAATCACAAGTGTTGATGACAACAATTCTTTTTTTTGTGTGACAGAAGTGGTCATGATATGAGATCAGGTTGACTAGCCCTAGGTGACTCCTCCAACCTGGATGGATCTTCATCCACACCTCTTTTTGCTTGTCCATCAGGTTCCAGAATCTTGTATCTGCTTTATAATGATGTCTGGAAGGGTGAGGTAGTCAGAGAAGGGACTTGCGTGTCACCCCAAGCAGAAACCTGCTTCCATTCCCTTCTATCTCTTAAGTCCCCTCTTTCTGTCTGCTGGCTTCTTGTGTAGTGGCTGAGTGACACATCTGTCCCAGGGATGGCAGAGCACGATACCA